ACAAGTGGTGCAGAAGAAACCTTGCAGAAAAATCGGTAATATTTATCCTAAAAAAAAAACTTGTCCAGAATCTTTCTCGCTTGTAATTTGACATCACCTGACCTTTTTTTTATTTTGGCAAAATATTTTTTGCCTACATACTCATCTATTAAAAACTCCAGTATTCGTTATCTCTTTATTACTCATTCCCTATGACTCTTTTGAACTTTAATTATTCTTGAATGACACGATTCGAATGCCATTCAAACTGCTATTTAACACTATCACATGACTTCGTGGACATGCATGTCTGTGAAATCTGTAATAGTTTGAATGGCATTTTGAATGGCATTCGAATCGTGCCAGTGTTTGTCATAAATCTGTGCCTATTATCAAATTTAGCAAGCCCTATAAAAATTTTAAGAAATTCTTACATACTCACAATAACATATCTCCTATTAATAGCTAGACTATGATGTAAAGTAAAGTAGTCCAAGATTATTCAATTATGTATTTAAATAACTGACATCAGCAGGCCTACTGGCAATTAATTGACCAATTGTGGCTGTGCCACCCATAAATTAATTGAGTTCGAAAAATTGCAATTAATTGCCCCCACAATCAATTATTTGGTAGGCCTGAACATCAGCAATTAAAAAAAAACTTGCGTAAATTTATGAAAAAAACTACATACTCAATTACATGCAAATCAAATCTCACACTCTCAAATGTTGTAAATCAAACCTCACACTCTCAACGTCAATTGTTATAAATCAAACCTCACACTCAATTGTTGTATGAAAGTAAATTTAATAAAAGATCTCACCTCTGGGATTTAAAAAAAAAAAAAAAAACTCTATTATTATTGTAAGAAGCAAAGGAATGTCTTCTACATTTGCTTTGGCTTCGAGTTTGTCTCCCCTTGAAACTTTAGAGACATGTGCTTACGATGATGATGAATACGTACCACTTTTGACATTTTGTCAGCATTCTTTGGACAATCAAGAATCAGAAAATGAGGATGAGGATGAGAGTACATTAGAAACAGACACAAGGGATGTTTGCAAGAAAAGGTGTAAATCAACAGGAACTGTGCAATGAGAGTTGCCGCTACTATTCTCCAACTTTGAACATTTCATTAGTCCAATGCCACCACATTGGGCATCCATTCGGCTACCATCGCATCTTGATGGAAGTGTTTCTAAAGCAATTGATTTTTTTTTTCTTTTTTTTACAACTACTATACTGGACACAATTACTCTCAATACGAATCTTTATGCATTAACAAAAAATGCTGATAATACTGGTAGGCAATGGCTGGACCTAAGCTGTAAAGAGCTCATCATCTGGATTGCTCTAGTAATTTATCAAGGACTTTTTAAGTTGCCTTCCCTCAACCAATACTGGAATGAAAATGAGAAACTCTCTGTTCACCATATTACCAAGCAAATGTCACTAAAACGCTTCAAACAAATAAAGAGGTATTTGCATATTTCCTTACTCGCTGCAACAATTAACAATTATTTTGAGAAATTGGAGCCATTACTGTCTCATGTTCGGGATATCTCAAAGCAACTCTACATACCAAACTCAAATGTTTCAGTAGACGAAATGATGATCCGGTTCTCCAGTAGAAGCATTCATACCATTTATATCAAAAACAAACCGACTCCAGAGGGTTTTAAAATTTTGTCACTTTGTAAGTTGGGTTACACTTACACATTCCTACCAACATCGCGCGTCATTTCAAGCGAAGTCACAAAAGTAACTGGTCTTAATCAAACTGGATCTCTGGTTCACCACCTCATTGAGCAACTTCCATATCGTCAATTTTCTTTTAATGTATACATGGACAACTATTTTACGAGCATTTCTCTTTTTTAACAGCTTAGGCAGATCGGCATTGGTGCTTGTGGAACTATTAGAAAAACTGCCTCCAGTTTTCTGAAAGAATTGAAAATAGACAAAGGCGTTAAACTCAATTGGGATGTTTGTTCTGGTGTTGTAATAAATGATACATTGGCTGTCCTCTGGCAAGATAACGGACCAGTAACAATGTTGACAATGATTCATAGGCTTGTTGGTGAAGAATGGGAAGTAGAGCGTAAAAGACGACGACCAAGAGAAACTAGTAGTAATGCTATAAAAGTGCGTATGATATTTGGGTCTGAATTAAAAAAAAAATTAAAAATTCTCAAGATTATTGATGATTACAACCATAATATGAATGGAGTAGATGTCTCTGACCAACTGCGGTCATATTACAGTACGCAACAAGTGTCTCGGCGAAATTGGATGCCAATTTTTTTCTGGCTGCTAGACACTGCGATTATCAACGCATACCAAATCGTCAGAACTTTAGGATCGAAGCGGGAGCACAAAGAGTTTCGCCATGAACTTGTCTGGGACTTTATTAATTTCGCAAATGATTCCGGCCAAATTCAACTAAGAAGTAGTTTAGAAAAAGAAACGAAGTGACCAAAGGTAACAAAACATTTTGAATTATCTGATAAAAGATTAATTCCTGAAAACCACTTTGTAGTATGGAAAGAATGACGCGAAGCGTGTCGATGATGTACATAGTTAGCGAAAGATGAATTGGACGTAGATCGTAAAACACCACATCAAAGTAATTTATGGTGTGTTGTATGTGACGAGCCCCTTTGTTGCAATAATGCTCGGAATTGTTTTTTACAATTCCATACTATTAAATAAAAAATTAAAATAGAAAAAAAAAACATGAAGAAAACAAAAAAAAAAAAGACTTTGATGCTTTTGCATTTAGTACAGCAAAGATTTAAGCAATTGCAATAAAAAATAAAATTTTCCAGAAAAGTAAGTTCATATTTAAATCGCTGCCTGTTCACATGATACAATAAGGTTAAGTAAGATTAAGGTTACATATTTCTCACTTAAAATATATTCAATCACATTTATGATGTTAAAGAAGCAGTAATTGTATTTTTCTAAATAGAAATAAAATTATCACAAAACTTGCTGTGTTTATTTTTAGCTGGAAAAACATTTAATCCAAGATCACTTGTCAGTCAAAGGACTTCCAGAAGAAACAGGAGCCTGGCTACTATCTTATAAAATATTTGAAATTATTCTAGCATTTATATTTATTGCAGGTTTACCAGAATAATTATTCTTGTAATTGGCAGAAAAATCTTCTCGATCATAAACTCTATTTTGGGTTTCCCAATTTGAGTGCTTAAGATTATTGCAAGTTCCATCATAAGTTCGAATATTTATGTCTGTTCCATTATATGTTCACATTTTTGGTACATTGGGTAATTCGTTTGAACCGTCTTGCTAAGTGTCACTTCCATAAGATTGCTGTATATGAACATTATTGATGTAGACAAATAGATATATATTGTAGTTTTATTTGTCAGAATAATTCGATCTAGCCAGTAAGTAAAATATATTTAATTAATAATAAAAATATTATTCGCATGTACTAATGAGGCGAAAGTGTGCTGATCCAATAATGCATGCACAATAGTCTTAATACTTTGCAGATACGCAGCAATTTGTTTTATGGCATATTTCGAAGCTGCAGCATGACATATTTTATTTAATTTAACTTTAATTTGTTATAGTCATATGTTATACATTACACTGCAGCTAGAAAGTATATCATGTATGTAATTCGAGTTTTTAAGAATCATTTTAACCTGTTTATATCAAGTTTTGTAAAAAAAAAAAAAAAAATTTGACTTGGTTTTCTTTTTTTTATTTTAGCGGGCAAATTTGTCTGCTAAAATGGATGGTTTAAGGGATAATACAGATATATTTTTTCAAATTTTATCTTTAGTAGATTTTGAACTTACAATCTACTACTTAAAGAGTTGACAACTTATCTACTTTATTTCTAATAAAATATTAACCTATTAAATAGATAATTTTTTTTTTTTTTCTCTTATAAGCAGTCACGCTAGTACTTTATTGAGTTTTTGAAATTACATTTGTAACTACATATATATCTCTAATATCTAAGTCTAGCATCACCTGGCCACCTTAACGGTACCTAAGTGCAACCTGCCACATTACTTCAAACAGAAGTAAGCTACTTGTCTGACTACTTAAAGTCCATAATGAAAGGGTCTTCTTCCTTTCATGACAAGCCCCAAAATTGTCTTCATTGCTTCTTTTTCAACTTGTTTTACTTTTTCTCTTATTTCTTCTTTCTTCTTTTCTGCTTTTTCTCGGTCCGCCTTCTTTTTTCCTTCTGCTTTCTTTTGAATTTCACATTTTTTCCTTTTACTTTTCTCTGTTATTCCAACTTTTTTCTCCCATTCGATGATTTTCTCACAACGTATTCTCTATACTTGTTCGTAAAATGTGTCCCAGGCCGTTATTGCTACTGTGTTTGCAAACTGCTATCTTGATCTTGTGTTTAATAACTTTGCTAGTTTGTCTTGTATATCTTTTGGAATTAGGCCTTTCATTAGTGCTTCTCTTATTTTGACTTTTTCTGTCTCTGTTTTTCCAAAGAGTGCTGTATATAAAATATATAGAGGAATTCAAATCTTTTCTTCTTCTTTTAATTTTTTTCATACTGTTGCAATAGTCACTTTTTGAATTCTCTTCTATAAATTTCTTTGCTCTTTGCATATTGCCAAATGTGCCTGTGTCTCTTTTACTTTGTCTTGGCATACTTGGCATTTCACTGTCGTGTATATATCTGGTCTTCTTCTGTTAAGTTCTTCTAGGGTTGGAAGTTTATCTATTATGCACTTAATAAATGCACTTCTTCTGGCACTGCTTCTTCTTGTTGTGCATCATATTCCTTTAGTCATCTTAAGCCTTTTCCAAAAATAGGTCCAGTCGTAAATTGTGATTTCTTCTTCTGGCTCTAGATCTTTAACTGCTTTTGTTTCTTTTCACTCTGTTCCTAATCTTGCATTTGTTACTAACTTACAAAGCAGTCTTGCTGGTATGTCAGTTCGTCTGTTTTCCCACTCTAAGTAGTATTCTATTTCTTTACAACTAACTTTTTTGGCCTGTACTATTTCCCTGCTTCTTGTTCCTTTCTTTGCTAAACTGTCTGCTTTATCATTCTATTTGTTCTTACTATGACTTTTAACTTTAACTAAATCTATTTGAATGTTTTTCGTCTTAACAAGGTCTTTGATCTTCATTAACCACATTGTATTCTTTTTTTTAATAATCTTGCTTTTGTCTATTTGTTCTAGGCTTCTACTAATGTTTCTTATTGCAGCATTGCTATCTGTATATAGCTCTATTTGCTTCTTCTTAGGTATTGTTAGAATTGCTGCCCAAATTGCTACCAACTCTGCTGTTGTCGACGTTTGCCATCCTTTTAGTCCAAAAGCTAACTCTTCTTTTGGCCATTCTTGTGTTTCATTTGTTTGGACCCATCCAATACTCATATTGTTCTTAGACAATGTTTCTTTACTATCTTTCCTATTCGCTGCACCATCTGTATATATTATATATTTATTTTTGTTTCTTGCAATGTTCCTTTTAAGAACCTTTGTTATTT